AAACTGAAGAGTAACCAGCACTGGGTTAGGATTCCTTCTGGTATGTGCAGAGGGGGAAAGGCTGTATATGAGGATGAGCAGCAACATATGAACAAAAGCAAGAGCTGGTCTCGTTTAGTGTGCTGGCCAGGCAGGCTCCGCCCTGCCGGGATGACGCAGCTTATCAAGGGGCTTTTGTGTGGACTTGCTCTTGATCATACACTGAGTAGACTCTGCCGGTGAGGGAGAGGCCAAAGGAAGCAGACTCTAGAGAAAGGCTGGGTGGCGACCTGCAGCTCCCGCCCAGGGGGAGGCCTCGGGCGAGAACAGTGGACAGGGGACTGTGTGCAGCGTCAGGACCACCCGATGGGCCGCAGGCCGCTGACACAGCGCTTGGTTAACCTGTGCAAGCGTGACGGGGGAAACCTGGTGGAACGCATGCATGTCCTTTTGCTCCAGTAACTTCGGGACATTGCACATATCAGGATTCCATTCATGCCTCCCAGCTGTTTAAAGCCCGTGTATGTTAGTTCGTTATGTGTGTCATGTGATCCAATGAGGAAAACCCTATTTAGCTCATGTGTGAATGCCTATTTGATAATGACTTTCTGATGGAGATGGCAATGGAAGTATCAAGTAACAAGGACATTTTTAAAATCCTAGGGGGCTGGTGAAGCAATAAATGGCTCGGGTCAGGCCAGCAGCAGACGCTGGCAAGTGGGACGGAGGGACCGGAGGGCCTGTCGGCGGCCGACTCAGTTGGGATTCCGACGAACGGCCGTGTGGGCAGGCTGGGACTGATGCGAGAGGCAGGTTTCAGAGACTTAGAATCAAATGGGGAACCATGTCCAAAGGCTTCCATTTTGAAGCTGAAATATCTCCAAATCCTTCTCTCTCACTTCAGAGAGGACACAGACACCCTGTCATTACTTCGTTTACTGAGCTGCGGTTCCCAATGTTCTGGGGAGGATCGTGCTGAAGGGAACAGGGTGGGGGAGCTGCCACTTTCAATCGCACGGAGGACAGAAACCCTTTTAATTATGACCATGCCAATCCACATCTCGCTAAGGCAGCTAATTACAGTCAGGAGGACACTCAGTCATTCAGAACAATTGTCATCATATTTTTATATACTCATTCTGTGCCACCCCCTCAATTACCATGGTTACAAGTTGAAAGGATGCAGGCAAACCTTCGTTTGATCACGGCACACCCATGTGAATCTGAGAGTTAATTACGGCTGTGCAGCCACTTTTATTTTAAAGGGAAAGAACGGAAACGCAGCCGCATCCCAAGATGCACGAAGCGTGCCGAGCTGTGTGCACAGGCCCTGCTCGGCCAGCGCGTGGCAGGTGGTGACTGTGCCCTTGGCTGCTGCCCCACGCGGGCATGCCGTGGGCACAGACACCCACCGGAGGGGACAACAGTGGGCAAACTGATCCAAGAACTTGCCAAGTCAAAGGGACGTGTTGGGAGAGGAAGGCAAAGCGCCCGCAGGGGACGCCTTCCCCTTGTTCTCAGGGAGCTGGCTAATGAGATGAGGTGTGAAACGTTGTAAACTCTGGTGTAAAGTGCCGGTCAGCTCTCACTGCAGTGGAATCGGCTGGATTTAGTTCTGCTCACGGCCTGGCCCCAATGCCACACGAGGAATGATGAAAAGGAGTCCAGGGATATGCATGTCTGGGATCCCAAGGGTGGTGGTAAGAAGGGGATGTGAGACCGCTGGGTGCAGCGGGATTTTCCCTCTCTTCTCTGTTCCTTCCCTTCTTGCTCACAAAAGAAAACCAATGTTATAGGAAACTGGGTTTCTCAGGTCCTTAGCTTTCTTTTTGCTGCTACTTCTCTTCCCCACCAAGAAAGAGGAATGATGCTGATGTGGAAACTTCTCAGTTCTCTAGCTTTTGAATGTGCACAGACATGAACGAAGCTGTGCCCAGAGGTCAGTGAGCCAACCTCGGGCTCAGCTGGGAGAGAGAACGGAGAGCAGCCTTTCCCAGCACAACCTGGGCTTCGGTATTTGGCAAATGGCTTCCTAGGCTCGATGACCAGAAAGCCTTTCCCACCTCCCCAGTTCCCCCGAGAGCGAGAGCGGTAAGGAATTCTCTCCTTGTAAGGAGCGCGCAGCACAGAGGAGAAGGGCCCTGCCCTGCATGCCCCGCCTGGGAGGCCCTCCCTGGACACCTGGCCGGGCACGGCTGCCTCCCGGGAAGACCTTCCGTTCTCGTTAGGTGCAGTACCTTCCCCCGAGGTAACTCAAGCCTGACGAGGTGACATAAATTAGACCCTGGAAATGAAGGGACAGTAAAGGGTTTCAGGGCATGCAGCTCAGTTTGCCAAATTCAATATGGCTGACAACCGATCCCCAAATCCTGAGAAAGCATCCCTGCTATTTAGTGAGCACACAGCAAGGAATGTATCACATGCGTAATTCCACCCGCACGCCACTCCTGCAGCACCCCGACACCCCACAAGGACACCACCAGTAGGAACTGGCCAACATGCCCAGCGTCCATGTGGGAAATCCCGACAGAGCCGGCTCAGTAAAGCTATCCGTGGATCTGGCTGGGCTCAGCGCAGCCCTGACGAATGCAGTAGTGAAACATCACTAATACAACAACAACAACAAGATGACATGAGACTTAAATCACAGGCAAGAGTAACACAGAAAACCAACACACAGCAGAGGGTCAGAGCTACTCGGTGGACGTGCTGCCAAGCACAGATCACCAACAAGACAATTATTGCCTAAGAATCTGTGAGACTCACTGGGGAAAAATACTCTGGTGGTTTTCTGTAAAAAAAAGGGGGGGGAGGGGTAGAGACATGGGCTAAATGGGAAGAGTGCTTCTTACCAAACCTTTCAGAACAAAGAGAAAGGACTTGAAGTTCACATTTTTAGGACAGGAGTGGGAGATTACTTATGAAAAACGGATTATTTCCGCTGTTATGGGCAGAGAGAATGTAACTGGTCAAAAAAAATGGGCTGAGAGGCAGGAGGAGTGTCGTGTGGAGATGCGCCACACTCCTGCCCTGGAAACCAGCTCCAGCCAGGAAGCCCGCGATGAGGCTCCGTGCTGGAGCCGAGGCAACGGAAGAGCTGCTGTTCAGACGAAAGGATGTGACCGGAGGTCCTGATGGAAGGAGAGTAGTTAGATTGATGCCTGAAGGTTGGGATCCAAGAGAAATTTATAGAGACAAAGGCCAAACGCAGAAACGAATCGTCCCCTCTGAGGTAAAATGACCTGATGCCTGGCCCTGCGGAGCTGCTACGAGCCCTGGTCCGCCTGCCGTCCACCCGACTGGAGTCCTGGTCTGCACACGTCATGTTTATGAGCTTTTCCTCATCCACATCTTTTTAGGGGGTCACCTCTACGGAGATGAGTAAAGGTGCCCTTTGGGGTCTTCCCGCTCCAGGCCTTCCTTTCTGTGAAGGGGTATGGGAATGTGGGGGCAGGGCGGTCCCACCAGTGGCAATGTGCAGGAACCAGAGTCCACAGGCAGGTGGACGGTGACCACACTCCTCTGCCCCAAGACGCTGTTTGGTCCTCGCTGCACTAGCCGTCTCAGGTAAGAGTGGGTTGGACGTTCTCTCTGGCCATCACGGAACATCAGAGTTATCGACGGAGAGGCAATCTCATTAGGATGGTCCATCGTTAAAAGGTCCCTTTGTAAGGCTCTGTTTTAGGAAGGACGTGTACCCATGTGACCACAGTAATTTGATGAAGTCTTAAAACAATAACACAGACAAGTTACATGAACTGGGCAAGCCCCCCACCCTCTGCCTTCTGATCTTCCTCACACAGAGAGATTAGCCCTGGAGAAAGCCCACCATGAAGGGAGAGGAGAGAAACGGGACGAGCACGGGAACAGCAGGGGGTTCTTTAAGAGCCCAGCTATTCCCTCCAGTTTAGGGTTCTACTTTAATATCACATCTCAAACCTAAAAAAAAACTTCAGAAAAAGTATTACCATCCAAAAATATTACAAATTAGTGGCAACTTCATATGCCATTATAATAACTAAGGTAACTTGGACAAGAGAGTGGAATTGAACCTGGTAACAAACAAAAAAACAATCGGCCCCAGAGAACTAAATGTCTACTCCTGGTGAGAAGCAAGAGCACGTAAGGCAGTGTAAGGCGAGCCAGCAGCCCTCCTGCTCCTACGAAATCCACCCGGATGTGCGCCCACAGTGGTGGGCACATTCCTTCCTTCCTCCAGATCCCAGCCAGGGCCTGTACTGCCTCTGGATACTCACTCTCCTTTCTTTCTTGTCTTTTTCCCCCTTCCTTAAAGGTCTTAAAACAATGAAACCTTTTAGCTCCTTTCTGGCAATCACTGTAGTTCTTTAGAAACTGAAGTTGTCTTAACAGTTCGAGTCTGTTTCCTTAAAAAGACCAGCAAGAACTAACGATACAAGATGAGCAATCCCATCATAAGGAAGCTATCAATGATAATAATCTCCTTACAATAATCAATTATGGATGTGGCTTATCAGACAGTGTATTTCCCCCCCCCCCCACTTTTTTTCTGATTCAGCCTAGAATAAGCCAACAAAATTCCACAGAAATGGAAAGATACAAGTTACAGTTCTTCTAAGTCATACAAAAGGAAAGAAAGAACACAATCTCCTAATCCAAACGAAAAGTCAAACAGCAAGAAAGAAAACGAGTGGGGATCATTCCTGAGAATAACAAATGCTACTCTTCAATCTGTTGGTTCAAGTAACACAGTAAAACAGAAAAGGCTACTCCATTCTACTTCAATTCTTGGAAGTGAAAAAGTATATACATTTCCCCCTGAAATCCACGGACAAGAGCAGGCCAGGCCCTGTTGACAGCTCCTTAAGTCACAGACCCACCCAGTGGCACTGTGACGCCCCTTGGCGTCAGCACGTGCCTACAGTGGAGTTAGACCAGCGAAAGACTGGCGGACATGCAGTATCTCACTAACGAGGAGTTAGACCAGCGAAAGACTGGCGGACATGCAGTATCTCACTAACGAGAAAGAAAAAGGAAGGTCAGTAAGTCTCACTCTCTCAATGGTTTTAAATTGAATACATTTGGGGGGGTGGGGGGAGAGGTAAGGAAATGGCACCTTCTTTTATCTTAGAAGTCGTTTTCAGGTAATGGACAAAAGGGCCCACAGTCCCCTTACACAGGCCCCATTGTCCGCCGGAAGGAGAGGTGGACCGGGCGAGAGTAGCCGGCGCTGCCCCTCTCAGACATGCCCTCCGCTGACACCCGAGGGGAGGGCCGTTTCCTTACCGCAGTGACAGCGTGTCATTTAATCGGGATGCTGAGAGATCATTTTCATACAGGGCCAGCAGATGTAATTTTCTTCGATGCATGAATAGTTCATCATTTTTGCTACTAGATGACAAGGTGATCACAGGGTGACTTTATAACGCAAGTTCACTGTTTGGTATTTTGAGTTCTCAAAATGAAAAAAAGATTTATCAAATATAAATATCTTTAAGAAGTAACAAAAGTGCTACATATGTGATCAAGGAAAAAAATTCCATTAGGTTACTGCTGCTTAAAGAAGATTAAACTTTACAAATATTACCACATCCATTATCAATATGGCTTCCAATTATTAAATAAATTGCCTGTAGCAATACAGCTTTTCACACGGCTCCAAGGACAGAGTAAAGAGAACACCAAAGCAGTCACACCCGTCGTGTCACGCAGACCCACCGCCTAAGCGGCAAACGTCCTGTCTTTCCTGCTCCTGTGTCGGGAAGTTCGCATCTGTGACAGTCAGTCAGCAACACCCCCCGTAAAGTCCTCTGAACCCCTCACATCGCGGGGGCTTCAGGTGCTGGACACAAAGACTGAAAGTTCGTTCACTCGTTTTTGACCTTAGCTTCGTCCTTGAAAGACTTTTTTTGGCGGCAGGGAAGGGGATGCAGGAGGCAAAGCAGCTCCTGACGACTCCGGCACTTTCCCAGACAGGCGGGCCGTGCCACGCCTGACAGACAGTGGTTCTGAGCTGGGCGTGGCCTCCACACACACTCAGCTCGTGTCACTTCCCAGGGCCTCTCAAGCTGGGGGTGTTTTTAAGTGACTTCTATTTTTGTCTTTTTTTGTTTGTTTTAATCATGGTCCCAAAGGCAGAAGGCAGTATTTTATCTACTGAGTCACACAGCGTGAGAGGACTGGATGTCTGTCAGGCATGTTACCATCACCTAAATCTGAGCTGGGGCTCTCCCGCTGCAGGCCCAGCACAGCCCGGCAGGCGTCACCAGCCCCAGTGTGACTGTTGTGAGGCACGGCTTGTTGAAGCTAGAAATCAGGGACCCCCACCCCGAGGTGGGGCTCTAGTGCTCCTTTCACTGTGGACACTCCCCACCTGGGCCGTCAGTCCCGGGCCACACTGCCTCAGCCTGCATCCTATCAGCCGAGGAGGGAAGGGGGACAGACGGTGGGACAGGGATCTACGGCACCCGCGGTTTGCATGTAGCCTAGTGTCTGAGGCCCGGAGGGCTATCTAAATACCTGGAAGCACTTTCTTGGAATGCTAAGACGGAGCAGCGAAATTTCTAGCCTTGGGGCCGGGAGAGGGAAGTGTGGTTGGTTGGTTGCTTATTATTTACTGGGAATTAATACTGAGAGAGTATATGCAAAGGCTGAGGGCACCATGCCATCTTCACAGAACAAGAAGACCCTAACGGCTAACTGACATACAAGAAACTGCAAGTTATACTGTGAGAACACGTGTTAAGGACCGAGGAAAGTCTGCTAAGGTGCTACGTCTAAACTAAGTTACTCTCACGGTCGCCCTCCCCGGTCAGTCGTCATCCAGGGCCTCTGTCTTGATTTCGTTGGCTCCTTGTCGGGCCAATGCCAAGATCGTGTGGTTGACGGCTGCCATTTCCACAGCTAGTGAGATGGGGTCCTGGTGGTCACTATGGCTAGTGCTGTCATCCTAGACGTGCAGGGATAAGAAACACACGTTAGAGGCCTGGGACAGTCTCCAGCTCACAGAAAGGCATGCTGGGCAAGGGGAGGGAGAGCAGCTGGGGGCGGAGGAGAGAAGGGGAGGGGCTCAAGACCGAGTGGGGCGAAATGCATTTAAGTAGACACTGAATGGATAGTCCAGAGATTTCGGGGTGACAGTTTTAGGATTCAACAAACAAGATTTTTCTTGCTGTGCACTGTATTCTTTCTTTCAGGAAGATTGCTGGTGATGATAATCAAATCTGCCTCATTCTAGTTTTGCAAAAAACAGAGCACTAGTCACTGAAGGCCACGATAGTGAGCTATTAAATTCTGGATGGTGCTCTTACAAATGGATTATTAGAATTCATGGTATCTCTCCACTGAACTGAGAGAACTAGACAGGAAGTTAGACAACATCTTATGGATAAAATTGCACTTTTGTAAAAAAATAACCACCTCTCGATGACAACAGCACGGAAGTGTCGCTGTGGGACAGCTCTGGGAGCGTGTGCAGCGCCGTCCTGCTGTGCGGGAAGTGTGGCCACCTTAGCTGGAGTGCGAAGCTCCCTTCCCACACTGAGGTGTGAACAGTAGAGCTGGGGAGGAAACTGGCCTTGCATTTGTGGCATTGAACACGGGTTACAAATAAGGGGTAGGTTTCCCACCTTCAGGGGAAATCTGCATCAAAGAACTTTGGGGAGGATCCGTCCCTTCAGGGGACAAAAGGGTGGGATATGCTGCCCTTAGGGCATCTGGAAAAAAGGTGGAAATGACCCTTCTACACCATAGACTAAAATACCAGGAATGTTTCCAATGAGGAAGACTTCCAAACACTCTCTAGGGGAAATGTGGAGCTACGATGTGGAGCCCAGAGAGGAACAGGTCCCCGGGGAAAGAAGGGGTGGTTCCATTCTCTTTCTCATGGATTGGTCTTAGGTGGTGAAAGGGTTGGGCATGGAAAGGCAGGCATCATCACGCAGTGTCTGTGAACAGGCTGTGACTCCTTAGTTCTTAGTGTCTGTGAACAGGAGTCACAGCCTGTTCACAGTTCACAGGCAGAAGGAGCACAGTGGGCGGGATTTAAGAGCTGGCTGAGGAGCGAGGGAGGGGCATACGCCATAGGAAAGTTTCCTTCCTGTGGTCCAGGAGAAGAGACCACATTCCAAATGGAAATGAATTTCAAATCCTATAAAAATGTAAATGAAATCTGTCAACAGATATGGGGGGCGGGGAACTTCCCACATCCTTAGTTACTGAATTTTTCCATCCAGTGGCTACAGTTAAATATATTTCTGCCCCCAGGCAATGAAGAATAAGTTGGGTGAGGTTCAGGACATGCATTTATGAGAGGGTGTGTGTGTCAGTGTGCTGGAGACTCTGGAAGAACCACTCATCTCAGCACACGGTTCCCACTGCGATGGGGCGCGGGGGTGGGGCCTTCCACTGTGCGCCGTCGCGGTGCTTGGGCGTGGGCACGGCTACCCAGCAGCCCCTAGTGTTTCTCCAACAGTGAGTGTGTGTGTGGTGAATGGTGTAACTTGCTTGTTTGGATCAGATCCTCCTCTCTTCTTCTACCTTCTCTGCTTCTCTGACTCCCTCTGAACTTCTTCCCTCCTCCTCCTCCCCATTGCGTACTTGCCAAGTATCCTGTTGTATGACAATAAATCCATGTGGGTGAATAACGATTTCTCACAAATTCAACAGGACAACTGAATCTTACCACATTCCTTTCTAATTACACAAAAATCCAACTAGACACGCGAGTACAGTGTGGAGGGACATCAGACTGTCTCCTCTTCCCCACCCATACCAAACGCACCACAGAACTGAGCTGTCATACTCTCCCACCCGCTCTGTAACCCTGATCCTCTGCTCAGCCACTTACCTGCTCTGAGTAGTCGTTGCCGTCGACATCGTCACTGTTGGAATGGCCCCCTGGACTCTGTACATCTATCCCATGACTCTCCAGGATTGCTGCTTCTTCGAAAAAAGCAAATAGATCCCTAAATTATCTGTTACAGCATCATAATGGCCTAAATGCTGAATTAATTTCTGTGTTGAGGAATTAGAAAGTCATTAAACAAGAACCTAGATTCCCTATGTTCTGTTTCTTTTAAATTGCAGACAGATGGAGTTCAGGGCACGGAGGTCAGGGGAAGGACATGTGTGCATTCTGGGACCCTGTTGCTGTGTGGGCTGTGTTTGTGTGGTTGACTGTTAGGTGCTTAACTGATACTTACCAACTAATAACACGAACCTCCTATCTTGGGGTTTGTTAAAGTGTTTGAGATTTGTAATGATGAAGAGGGAGTAAGTTTAAAATGAAATACATGCCGAAACCGGTTTGGCTCAGTGGATAGAGCGTCGGCCTGCGGACTGAAGGGTCCCGGGTTCGATTCCGGTCAAGGGCATGTACCTTGGTTGCGGGCACATCCCGTGGGAGATGTGCAGGAGGCAGCTGATCGATGTTTCTCTCTCATCGATGTTTCTAACTCTCTACCTCTCTCCCTTCCTCTCTGCAAAAAATCAATAAAATATATTTAAAAAAAATAAAATAAATAAAATAAAATGAAATACAGTTTTAGAAGCTCAAAACCACCCCCCTCCCCGCCATAAGCTCATCAATTTCTTAAACGCTCCCTTCTTTTTTAAATCTCTGCCTTTTGCTATGTTCCCTAAGATTCTTTCATTCGAACTCTAATAATCAGATGTTCCTTAATACTGAGGTCATAACCCAGTAATAACAAAGAAGCCGGAGTATCACATTCCCTCTCTCCAGACCTTACAAGTATCTTTAACATGCACCACAGGAGTAACTGCTCAGAGACCATGTCTCATTCTAGAGTCTCTAGAACATTAAGAATAATGAGTTTTAGAAATAATAAGGGCATTATTATTATAACACAAATACTTTAAATAATACTAACTGGGTTATTAAAACTACAATGAAGAAAAACATAAGGCAATTCTTATTAGGTTTAAAATGTGGGGTACTTTAGACCTGCAGTTCTAAACTGAAGTCCCGCTTACAATAGACAGTGTTAGCCGCCCGGGAGGAGAGGCAGCCTCCCTGATTGATACATTACCGATATTGGCTCTCCTCTTGATCTCCTTCCGCCTGTTGGCAAACCAATTATACACTTTCAGGGAGGTAACTCGCTCCAGGTCTGACAGCTTTTTGCCTGTGAATGCATGTAATAAAATTCAGATAACCTATATCTGAGACTAGTTTTAAGGAAGAATACTTTTCTTTTTTAAAAGTTCTTTTGATTGCATTTATTGCTGAAATAACAGACACAGGGTTTTTTGTTTGTTGTGTTTTTTTTTGCAACACCTAGTACAGTGTTCATACGCAAATTATTATAGAATAAAGACACAAATAGCAACTAAGAACATAAAATGCCTGAATTCAGAAAGCCATGCAATCTTAAAGAATTCCAGCATTAATACAATCCTAAAGGATCTCACAGGTCACTCTGCTAGGGCTGATGTTCACAGGAGAGCACACAGAGGCTTTGTTTAATTGGCATCATTCTAGATCAATGGTTCTCAACCTTCCTAATGCCGCGACACTTTAATACAGTTCCTCATGTTGTGGTGACCCCCAACCATAAAATTATTTTCGTTGCTACTTCATAACTGTAATTTTGCTGTTATGAATCGTAATGTAAATATCTGATATGCAGGATGTATTTTCATTGTTACAAATTGAACATAATTAAAGCATAGTGATTAATCACAGAAACAGTATGTAATTATATATGTGTTTTCCGATGGTCTTAGGCGACCCCTGTGAAAGGGTCGTTTGACCCCCAAAAGGGTCGCGACCCACAGGTTGAGAACCGCTGCTCTAGATGAATGTGCTGTTCCTTAGCAGGTTTCCAGACAGCTGGTTTACTTACGTCTTTCAGATCTTACACTAACTAGTTACCTGCTGTCTCATGTTTTCTTGGAGACTAAAGGTTACTTAGTCATCCGTTACTATAACTACGCTGCAACACAGCATGAGCAGGTACATTTTAGATTTATTATCTTCTTTGCTGTCAAACGTGCCTTCTTAGGGACAGCACCATGCTTGCCAACAAGGACCCACCTGTACCTCCCCCTCCCACCCTGTCCTTTCCTGTCTCAGCTTTTAGTCCACGTGGGTGGAGACACCAGAAAACAGGTTAGGGCCTGATGAGCTAGGGGTAATGTGTTTTCCAGGAAGGGTCGGAGTTCCCACAGCTTTAGGGATGGGACTTTTAGATGATGTTGGAGCTGAGTTTGTAAGCTCTGGACTTTTAAGCAGTCAGGCTTCTAGCTAAGGGAGAATAAATTACTATTTTATTATTATAAAACATTTATACTTTAATTTATAGCCTTTAAGCCAATCACATTAATGGGCCAAATGGAGATCAATTGGATTGGCATAACTGAATGGTTTCTGGTAACAAACACTGTAAAATGTGGACTATCTTAGCACCTGGAAGAAAGGACGAGTGTGTTTAAGTGGCTCTGCTGACTTGCATGGGAGCAGGACCTCAGAATAAAATCCCCCAGTCCCTCCTGGCTGAGCAGAAGTCCTCCCAAAGCCAACTCCAAACAGTTCTCTCTTCCGTTGTAAATTATACACTTTACAATGGTTAAACAAATCTATGCCAATATTTTTATTAACAAACCCTGATTAAATATTTAAACTATTTTGGAATTGATACATTTATGCTAATTTTTTTGGAAAAAGAAATCTACAGCCTTTAAAAAAGTAATTTCAAGGTCTCGCATCTTAATCAGGGACACTCCCTGGAAACATTCCCATATGAACGTCTGATTGGAATAGCACATTCACGTCCCCACGAAGTCTGGTTTGACCAGGACAGGGCGTGACTGTCCACAGGAGAATGGCAGAGGAGAGCACGGAGTGGGATGAGTCAGGGGCTCTGTGTCCTAAGCGAGGACCTGAAGCCAAGACCTGCACCGCAGGGCACAGCTCGTTGCCTTACCTGGCTTCTGTATAACTGCATTGCAAGCGTTTGCAATTTCTTCTCTCTTTGCTTCATCTGGATATTGGTTCTCATTGAAGTAACTGCAGAGGCAACCAATTAAAACACAGTTTTAACTTTTTAAAATTTGCTCTCTTATAACACCAGCCCATGAGAAACACTTTCTTCTTTAGGGTGTAGCACAGTGATTCCCAAAGTGGGCGCTGCAGCGATCCAGGGGGGCGGTGATGGCCACAGGTGCATTTGTTTTAACTTTTTTTGTATTACCTTTCTATTCTGAGTTCAATAAATAGTTTCATAATTTCAAACTTCAATGTTTCTAATTTACAACTTTCTTTACTATATTTTACGAAAAAGGTAGAAACATTAATACATATATCTTTCTGTTTAATTGCTATTAAAATTAAAAAAAAATTAATTTCCAGGGGGCGCTGAGTAATATTTTTTCTGGAAAGGGGGCGGTAGGCCAAATAAGTTTGGGAACCACTGGTGTAGCATTAGAGTGTCTAGTCCAGGCTGTGCAGTGGAATTTTCTGAGGGTGGGATGGTCTGTGCTGTGCTGTCTACTATGGTGGCCACTACTCTCACGTGGCTGCTGAACATGTGAAATGAGGCTGATGTGACTGAGGAAGTAAATGTTTCATGTGATTTAATTCTAGCGAATTTAAATAGCTACATGTGACCAATGGCTACTACATTGGATAGCACAAGCCTAGCCACTGCTAAGCTTCATTCAGAAATGTCCTTGATATGAAAGCTACTGTGATATGCGTGGCTGGCTGAAATCAGAGTTCTGTTACTGAGGCACTGTCACAATAGGGTTTTTCGTTGTGTGTCAGACTGTTTGTAGTAGCCAAAATTGGAAATTACCCAATTTTCCATCAATGGAAGAATGGCAGAACAAATTATGGGACATCTATATTTATACACAGCTATTTTAAAATGACTAAGAAAAAAACAAATTAGAGCTCTATCCATTGACCTGGAGGGATGTTTATGACCTATCCTAAGTGAGAAAAACAGTCTGCAGAATAATGTGCCTGCAAAAGCACCATGATGGAATTTGAAAAATTCCTGTCTATGCACATAAATTTGCATGGATAAAAGCTAGAGGAATACACACCAGGCGGTAAATATTGATTAGTTCTTTGTGGGGGAAGGGGATTAGTGGGAGATGTAACAGTTCTTTATTTTTGCCTTTCCTCTATTGTTAAACAGTACATAGGTACTTATTGTACCCTCTGCACAACAGTGCGCAAAAGAAATGGGGTTGACTGCACCCATCATCAGACCTGTGAGGCTATATGTGAGAGCAGAATGCTTGTTAGTGCTACTTTTTCCGTCATTTATGAGTTTTTTAAAAAAGAAAAAGAACTTTCATACTTTGAACTTGGAAACTTAAGATCAGGAAATGATCTTTTGTCAAATTCTGGTACCTCCCATTTCTTCAAGGGCTTCCCCTCCCCTCACACTCCTGTCCACATTGGGGGAAGTGCCATTCTATTTGGAGTAAACATGGGAGGCCCCTAACCCTTCCAGTGAACCCCAGACCCCACCACCACTCCTCTTCCCCAGCCCTCCCCCTGGAGAGCATCCTTCGCTGCAGTCCCACACAGCGGCTGCCAGCACCGACACCTCCTTTTTCTAAGGCTGAAGTCATAGAACTGTATCATCCCACCCTTTCAGCTACCGTCCCCCACTCTGGTCTCCTGCTTTATTCCACGATAAGCATCTCTCCCCATGTGGTTTTCTACTATCATTTTAAGGACGCCAGTGTTCACAGTGAGGATTTTTCAAGTCTCTGTCTCCATAAGTGCTCCACTTCCACATTCCTATTGAGCTTTATCTTTACTACACTTCCGCTATTTACTTGGGCAAAGGCTCGCTGGATGAGTGCCACAAACCCAGCAGCACTGGCATCACCGGGGAGCTTGTTAGAGAGGCAAGATCTCAGACTAAATCAGAGGGTTTTTTTTTTTTTGTTAGATGTTTTAATTGACTTTTAGGGAGGGACGGGGATAGAGAACCATTGATTGGCTACCTCCTGCACACCCCCTTCTGGGGATCAAACCCGCAACCCAGGCATGTGTCCTAATGGGGAATCAAACCTGCGACCTCTGGGTGCATGGGACAATGCTCAACCAACTAAACCACACCGGTCAGGGCCAGAATCTGAGTTTTAACAAAATCTCCAGGTGATTTGGTTAACGTCTGAGAAGCACCAGATTAACTCATTCCTTTAAAATTCCACAGCAAAGACAACAAAAGCAGATACTACACACCTACTATTTGTACTTGCACTACAGGTGAAGAAGAGAATGAGATAGGTTCTGACGTCAAGGAGTTGATAATCTACTGAACAGAGAGACATATAAATCAATATACTTGTGGTAAAATCCCACAGGATGTCTAGAGAGAACTGTGGGAGCAAAGATGAAGACATGCTCAGTGTTTTTTGCAGGAGCCTGGAAAGACCCAGCAGAGGAAGTGCGACCTGAGTTAGGCTTGAAGATGTGAGGGAGTTTGCAAGGCAAAGAGGAGGAAGAACATTACATGCAAGGGGAACAGCATGTGCAAAGGCAAAGCAGGTAAAGGTCTTCAGGAGTCTGTGCAGAGTGTGGTGAGAATATGGGGTTCACAAGAGAGGAGGACATATTCGCCTGGAAAAGTAGGTTGGTCCAGTTTGTGATGAGCCTTGCCTGTTCTTTAAGTAGTAAAGACTTCACCCAGAAATCGAGGTTTTCAAGCCACAAGAGATATGCTCCCATCTATGTTTTGAAAGATTAAGTTTTCTAGACTCAACCCTCAGAATTCTACCTCTATAATCTTAAATTCTGAAATTCCCCAACTTTCTACTTACATACTCCTTCTTTTCAAAATAACTTATTCTTCATTTTCTTTATAATTTTAAATCCCTTAACTCCCACCCTCCAACTTTTAAAAAAATCTGTTTATCTATTGCTTTTCTCCTGGCCTCACCTCTCATTTTGTTAAGCCTGTACTTAACAATATGCCTAAGGAGAAACTTAGATCATGTAGCGTTTCTGCCCCTCATCATACCTACACAGCCAGTCTCCTACCCCGCAGAAAGCACCTTCCACTTGTTTCCTTCATCCTTCTCTCAGGTACCAAGTGTTCTTGGATGAAGTCATTAAATAGAACTAATTAGTTTCCTTAAAAACCCAACTTTACTTGGATTCCTCATTTCTGATGAGAAAACTTCAGTCCTTTCTTTTAAAAATGTTTATTTTTCAATTACTATTGACATACACTATTACATTAGTTTCAAGTGTACAACATAGTGGTTAGATGGCTATATGACTTACGAAGTGATCAGCTCAGTAAGTCTAGTACTCACTTGAAACAATGTGATTATTACAATATTGACTACATTCCCAATGCTATATTTTACATCCCCATAACTATGTTTATAACTGGAAATTTGTATATCTTAATTCCTTCACCATTCCCCCAACCACTCTCCCATCTGGCAACCATCAATTTGTTCTTTATATATACTTGTATTGCTTATTTTATTTTTTAGATTCCACATATAAGTGAAATCCTATGGTATTTGTCTCTGAGTTATTTCAATTAGCATAATATGTTCTAGGTCTATCTATGTTGTTACAAATGGCAAGATCTCATTCTTTTTATGGCTGAGTACTATTCCACTGTATATATGTATCATATCTTTATTCATTTGTCTATCAAAGGGACAGTTAGGTTGCTTCCCTACTTAGCTATTATAAATAATACTACAGGGAACATAGGGATGTACTTATCTTTTCAAATTAGTGTTTTAGATTTCTTTGGATAAATACCCAGAAGTGGAATTGTGGTGAGGTATGTTCCCTCGATCCACATTTTGCTGAGAGTTTTAGCATAAATGGCCATTGGGTTTTGTCACATGCTTTTTCTGTATCTATTGATATGATCATTTGATTTTTATCTTTCAATATGTTTATATGGTATATCACTTTAATTTGTGAATATTGAACCAACCTTGCATCATGAGAATAAATCCCACTTGATCCTGGTGTATGATCTTTTTAACGTATTTCTGAATTCGGTTTGCTAATATTTTGTTGAGGATCTTTGCATCTATGTTTATCAGGGACACTGTCCTATACTTTTCTTTTGTTGTAGTGTTTTGTCTGGTTGTGGTATCAGGGCCTTTTAGTCCTTTCTAACCAACTCTCTTTAATACTCTTTTTATGCCCCACTTACCTGAAACCTTTCCACTTCTTAAGTCCTAAGACTTCAAACCCACTACTGTCCTTTTTGCAGATGACCTTGCCTCCTCTTTCACCAAGATGGAGGTTATTTAAAACTAGGGGCTCGGTGCATGAAATTCGTGCACTGGGGGGGTGGGTGTCCCTCAGCCCAGCCTGCCCCCTCTCACATACTGGAAGCCCTCAGGGGATGTCCTAGTGACGGCTTAGGCCCACTCCCTGCTCCCCTTGGGGAGTGGGCCTAAGCTGTAGTCTGGCCTCCCTTTGTGGGAGGTGACCGGGCTGATCAGGGGAAGGCACCAGCCCCATCACCCCGCTGCTGCAGCCACTGCCAGTCACCGCAGCCAGCAAGGTTTTTTCATCAACACGGACTCCAGTCCCTTCACCATGAAAAAATGACAACTTTCTTTAGGCATTTTCAAGATGTGTCTTTCATATAATAATAATTTCTTTATTATTTTTTTTTTTATCCTCACCTGAGGATATGATTCCATTGATTTTTAGAGAATGTGGAAGAGAAAGGGAAAGACAGAGAGAAACATCAAAGTGAGAGGAACACTTTGATTGGTTGCCTCCTGTATGAGCCCTGACCTGGGCCCCGGCCAGGGAAGGAACCTGCAACCTAGGTACATGCCCTTGGTCAGAATTGAACCCAGACCCTGCCATAGGCAGGCCAAGGCATTATCCACTGAGCCAAACTGGCTAGGGCAGGATATGACATTTCTTAGCCCTCCAGCAGTGGACCTTCGTATTTTTCGCCAGGAGTGTGGTGAAAAACCCTAGATCACCTTTTTGGATTCTTATTACCCAAGTTACTAAGAATATTACCAATGGCATACAGGGAGCTT